TTAACTCATCATAAACATCACATGGACAAAATGGTCCTCTCTCTTACCATAAGATTATTCCCAACTTGATTCCTTCCCCTGTAGCCTGTAGGCATATGAATGCATGATGACACAGTCTTTATTCTTCAATCATTAATGTTAATTGGAACCCTCTCATTCGTTTCATTGAGGACATGTTTTTGGTCGGTGCTGTGTCATTCAGGTTATCATTAATTGTCATCCACATCCTCCAAACTTAATTTAGTACCTCACCCTTATTCATGATGTCTTTTATTATGACTAGTGGAATGGCCCGTGCGATGCATGAAGTATTAGATATTGATGATGATGTTTGACTATGTTATATATCGGGTATAGATTTGTAATTTATGTTATTTTCTTCAATTTTTATGATTTTCTATTTTTTTTTAATTTTCTATGTATTTCTTTGTTTTTTATAATTTATATTATTTTCTTCATTTTATGTGTTTTTTCATAATTATTTTGCAATAACATATATATATATATATATATATATAGTGGGAAAAATATAAAGTTGAGGGTAAAGTTGGAAAGTAAAATTAGAGTGTTTTGATCAAACCAATTGCACCATTCTCATTTTTCAGTATGATATGTAAGTTTCTATGATCTTCTACAGTTTTTTTTTATAAATTTTCAATGTATTTCTCTGTTTTTTGTAATTTATATTGTTTTCTTCATTTTATTTTTTTCATAATTATTTTGTAGCGATAATATATATAATGAAAAAAATAGAAAGTTGAGGGTAAAGTTGGAAAGTAAAATCAGGGTGTTTTGACCAAACCAATTGCAACAGTCTCATTTTTTAGTATATAATATTATATTGTTTCCTTCATTTTATGTTTTTCATAATTATTTTGTAGTGACAATATATATAATGGAAAAAAATAGAAAGTTGAGGGTAAAGTTGGAAAGTAAAATCAGGGTGTTTTGACCAAACCAATTGCAATATTCTCATTTTTTAGTGTATATATATATGGTATAGAAATTTTTATGATTTTTTATTTTTTATTTTTGTAAATGCTTTTGTGTATTTCTTTATTTTTTTTTTGTATTTTATATTGTTTTTTTTTTTTATTTTGAGGAGAAAGGTGCATAGGATAAAGAGACACCATTTCTATTTCCTCCCTATTGTGAAGTAGGGGGAATGGATAAGATATACATTATAGAAAGAGGGATTTAAAGGAGAAAACTAGGGTTTTAGAATTTATTTCTTCGCTTCATGTGTGCATGATAATATTTGGCCTTTTGCCTCATGTCATTCTACTTATCAATGGTGGAACCATTATTTGCATATCTAACAGCTAATGTTTGGATATAGGTTGATCTTGATTCATTTATATTCGGATTCAAATTGAACATCCGTCCAATTTTTAGAAGAGTCTGGATCTCTTGCCAGCAAAATGCATTCCAAACCCCTATGACCCTACCAAGTACCAAACCCCTACGGTATTACATTGGTAGGGTGTTAGATTATTGGACTGGCCTGATCATCATCGAGAAAAAACACCTTAAAACAAATCAATATAATGAACCTGAAAGCAGTTCTTGATCCAATACAACTTATTATGTTAACGAAGACAATTGAAGTAGAGGAAAAATGGGAAAAAATACATGAAAAAATAGGGAGAAAACCAAAAAAGGCTTCATTTAATCATTTAATTGATTGTTCGATGATGAAAACATAGAGGTTGAAAAAATCCATTCCTCCCTTCAATTTAATTTCATGGGTTTTGGGCAAACCATTCGATACTTGACACATGTTGGTTCTAATCAATGAAGAGGTTTGTCAGGTAGGCCTGATGGGAGTAGGCCTGTCAATGATACCCAAAAATCCGAGGCCCAATTCGACATCCAATCTAATTATCATGGATTCAGATTACGTATTTATGTAATCGGATCAAATTCGAATGTTACATTCTACATCCGATTAATAATCAAATCGGATTTGGATTTGACTCAATATGATTTGATTAAAATTTGAATATGATTATATTATAATATTTATTAATTTTAATATATAAATTCTATATAATTATATTAAAATTTATAAAAATATATTTTAAATATTATATTATATATGAATTTATAAATAATAAATTTAGTATGTTATATTTATATTAATTTATTATATATAAAAGTCAAAAAATAAATAAATTTTTAATTTTACTAGTATTTTAGAGAATTTAAAGTTGAGTCGGGTTAAATCCAAATCCAATATGAGTTTGTTAGGATTCGAATTCGACTCCGAGTCTTTAAATCCAATCAAATTTCATACCAAATTTGAATGTAGGTTCTTAATATTCGGATTGGATGCGGATTTTGCTACATCCAATTAGAATCTGATCCGATTGTAGCCCTATTAGGGAGAAGATCAGATAAGGCCTAAGAGGAGAGAGGAGTAGGTTCCATAGCGGTTTTATTATTATTTTATTAGTTACAAGCGTGAATTGTTAATTAAATAAAATTGGAAAAATAAAAAAAAACTATTATTATTTTATTTGCTTTATCCAATTACAAGTGTTAACCATTAATTAAATAAAATTAGAAAACTAAAAAAGGGTAAAAATGGAAAGTGAAAATCAGGCTTTTTCATGAAACATTGTCACCATCCTCATTTTTGTAAATGGTATAGACAACATTCTCATTTTTTTTATTATGGTATAGAAATTTTTATGATTTTCTATGTTTTTTTTTATTTTTTTCGTATTTCTTTGTTTTTTCTATAATTTATATTATTTTCTTCATTTTGAGGAGAAATGTGCATAGGATAAGACAAATGCCATTTCTGCTTCCTCCTTTCTACTGTAAAGTAGGGGGAGTGGATAAGATATACAATATGCAGAGAAGGGTTTAAAAGAGAGAATTGGGGTTTTAGGATTTATGTCTTCACTTTATGTGTGAATGGTGACATTTGGCCTTTTTCCTCCTACCGTTCTGCTCGTCAATGGTGGGCCGTTATTTGCATATCTAATGGCTAGCATTAGGATATAGGTTAATCCTGATTCATTTATATTCAGATTCGAATCGAACATCCATTAGATTTATATAGAAGAATCTGGATCTCTTGCCAACAAAATACATTCCAAACCCCTATGGCCCTACCAAGTACAATCCCTACGATATTATGTTGGTAGGGTGTCAAATTACCGGATTGGCCCGATGATCATCGAGAAAAAACACCTAAAATGAATCAACATAATGAACCTAAGAGCATTTCCTGATCCAATACAACTTATTACATTAATAGAGACAATTGAAAAACAAAATAGGGAGAAAAAAAACTTCATTTGATCATATGATTGTTCCCCGATGAAAAGAGAGGTTGAAAAAATACATTCTTCCCTTCAATTCAAATTCGTGGTTTGGGCAAACCATCCAATACTTGACACGTGTTGGCTCTAATTAATAAAAGGTTAGTTAAGTAGGTGCTTCGGGAGAAGATCAGATAAGGCGAGGAATAGGTTCCATAGTAGTCTTATTGTTATTTTATTTGTTTTATCCATTTACAAGTGTTAACCATTAATTAAATAAAATTGAAAAAATAAAAAAACATAACAAAGGGTAAAAATGGAAAGTGAAAATCTTGCTTTAAAATAAAAAAGTGATAAAGGGTAAAAATGGAAAATGAAAATTATGCTTTTTTGACACGAGTTGGCTCTAATCAATGAAGAGGTTGGTTAAGTAGGTGCTTTGGGAGAAGATCAGATAAGGCGAGGAATAGGTTCCACAGTAGTCTTACTGTTATTTTATTTGTTTTATCCAATTACAAGTGTTAACCGTTAATTAAATAAAATTGAAAAATAAAAAACATAATAAAGGGTAAAAATGGAAAGTGAAGATCAAGCTTTAAAATAAAAAACATGATAAAGGGTAAAAATGGAACATGAAAATTAGGCATTTTAACGAAACATTGTCACCATCCTTATTTTTATAAATGAATGAAAATGATGAGATACAGAAATTATCCAATTACAAGTGTTAACTATTAATTAAATAAAATTAGAAAAATAAAAAACATAATAAAGGGTAAAAACAAGAAGTGAAAATCAAGATTTAAAATAAAAAACAGGACAAAAGATAAAAATAAAAAATACCATTTTTATAAATGGTACAAATACATATTATATATATATATATATATATAATTCAGGTATTTTAAAAGGGAATAGGATTGGAAATATAAATCATCAGAGTTTGGACAATGGACGCTCATTCATTTCTCTTTCTTATAAATGGGTAAGACATCTCTAATGTAACTCAGATCTCAATTCAGACACGCCAACACCCTGAAAAGGTTTGCCCAAATGTAGGTTAAGGTTGGGCAGTCACCAACATTATGTCTATACAGACTCTTTCAATTCTTCAGAGTAGTTACAATACCAATGCTGGACACAAGGTTTAAAAACCGATTCCGAAACGGACCACTGATTTTTGGGTCAGAGGTTTAACCAACCGTTTGCGTTGAACGGTTTGACCCGTTGTGTTATAATGCATATTACATCTTAGCCTTTAGATTAGAATATTAGAGTTAGATGGGACGATTATATATGTATATCGTGGGAAGGGAGGATGTCGATGTGATGGCCTCTCTCGTCCTTTTTCAAAGCCGCTATTTATGTAGGGCTTTCCTCAAAGCTAGAAGCTGTTGTGCTCCAACCGTTCCAAACAGGCACTAAATAGGTTATCCAGAGCACTTCAAAACAGCTGCTTAGCTGAATCTTCAGCTCAACCCTCCCAAACGGGTCTTAAATATGTATTGCAACATTTACAATAAGCCAATGAAGTACTCCAACTCCAAGCATGTCTCCAATTCTGATCTTCCTAAAGCTGTAAGCAAAGCTATTCCTTTTTAGATGAGATAATCTTGAAAATAAGTTCGAGATTGCAGGGCTTTCACTGCAACGAATTTGATATATATATATATATATATATATATATATATTAAAAAATAAGAACACTTGTCAGATGTTCCCTTTTTAACTAGAAAAAAAAATGAGAAAAGGAGAAATCTCTACTCACAACAGAGAATGCTAACTTACTTATAGCTGAAATTTAACATTCTCTATTGTCCCTAAAAGTGTTAAATAGGCCTCATTTGATATTCCTTGTTGAACATGGCAGCTCGATTGGGAAACAATAAATCAAAACTAGGAAAGAGATAAAGAATTTTGTTTCTTCAAAGCTTCCCGCTCTCCATCTCCTGGGCATCCTCTGCCACTATCATCTAGGAAGCCTCGACGAATTGATGGACAAAATTTTGCAGTCTTCTGGATATCTTTGTACCTTCAAAACCCTGCGTAGACTCTCCCACCTACACAGAAGGATTCGTTAAGCAAAAATTTTTCTTTCTTCCTTCCTCTGTTCATCAAATCTTACTGAAAAAAAAAAGCAAAGAAAAAGAAGATAAAGCTGTGAAGCTACCTCCGCATGAATAGTGTGGAAAACCGAATTATCGACTACAGAAAAACTGGCACTCACAATCTCAGCTCCTTCATCGTGAAGCAGCCGTATGATCTCATAAAACAACAACTGATGATGATCCAACCCACTGACCAGAACCGCCTGTAGAGCAGAACCCATGTCATGTATCTCAATGTGGGGTGACTTAGCTCTCACCATCATTCCACTTGTTATTCCTTCTAACCCCATTATGCTCGCTTTCTTCTCTTTCATTCTTTCCAACTTCTGCTGCAACATTTTTATATAATTTGTGGCTTCTTCTATTTGATCAGGCAGTGCCATAGTCTCCTGCAATTCCAGTAAGGAACATTACTACGTATTGAGAGAGAGAGAGAGAGAGAGAGAGAGAGAGAGAACCTTGGTGCCATGACTTGGGATTAGAGAATTGAGCTCTGCGTAGAGGTTCTTCATGTGATTTCTCCTAATTTTTTCTACAGTCCTGCGATCTACTTTTGAAGAAGAATGATCGTAATCCTCCATGTCTCTCTATGAATACTTTAACAGAAGAAAAGAAAACTGAGATGGTCGTATCTGGATGTCTACGCCAGCCCCCCTCGATGGTTTGCCTTTTAATGGCAGAAGAAGGACAAAAAAAAAGCAATTAGGCCGGTGAACGAAAAAGTTTGACGGCAGGGTTGTGAGGTTGGACTTAGCCAAGTGTCAAATAATCCATAATTCCTTTGACCATTTGATTTGTGAAATAATCCAAAAAGGAACTGTGCGTATTTCGGCTACCCAACCTACTTCCTACTTCCCCAATAATGTCTTGGGTGGCTGAAATTGACAGAGTCTCGTAGGTGATTTGAGCACTCTCACCTCTTATCTGTGTTGATTAGGGCACCCTTTCTGGTCAACATTAATACATCAATTTTTTTTTTCTTTTATGAAAGAGACTAGTATAACCCTCTATGATACATTGCACTCCCGTCTCCAGTTTTCTCTGATTGGTTTGCAAAACCCTACTTGCAGACACTAGAAGTGAACCCATTTGCTCCACCACCAGATTACTTGTACTAAAGGATAAAAACAACTCCAAATATATTTGTTAAGTTCTGTACGGGTCAGAGTCCAAAGAGATGGGTAATTTTGTCTTTGGAAAAAATGGTCCTTTAGAATGTGAAGGGAGCACTCCATTTATGAAGAAAATAGGGAATCCTCAAATCAAGTCCTCCCAATTAGAAAATAATAAAGGAAGAGAAAGTTGTTAACAAAATTTGTGCAATTCCTTAAAGAACTTTTTACTCAACTTTCTATTTTTAAATTATTTTCCATCACACCAAACACAGCCAAATACAGCCTACTTAAGTAGTGTATCTCTCTCCAATTTTGGAGTACAAACTAATCAGCTAAAACAAAATTAGTCTTGGAAGTTACTGTTAAAGCTCCCCACTCCAAGTCCCATTACTTCATCAACATCATCTAAGCCTTGTCCTAACTATATAGGCAGCTACATGAGTCCTATTTCACCATTCTGTTTTGTTCGGTGCCATATCCATCACTAAATTATGGGTGTTAAAATCTACCACCCTTAGATCTTCTAGTCCCATCAACTTGTAACATATCATTTTCACCAAAGCCTTATTGCCTACTATCTTGAAAATCAATCTACTAAATCAATGTTTCCAGTTGAATATCATTAGAAGGTGAACCAAATGCAAAAGGGTAGGGTTCCAACCTTAAGGTTTGGATTGGATAATCTGTAAGTAGAGCCTAATTGTCAGTACCTAATTTTTGTTTGGTTTGTTGCCTAAACCTTCAATTTACACCAAACACACGATCAGACCCATCTGACCTCTTCAAAACACCCAAAAACCCAGAAACCCCAACTTCAGCCCCAAAACCCATAAACCCACCATTAAATCTACTCGATACCAATCTAATGGCCATGATCAACCCCTGTCTACACTTTTACCCTCAAATCAAACACCACCATCAGACTTAAGACATCTCAAAATACCTACCCATAAAATTTCAGCTCAATATTCCTTTGTTTACCCTTTCATCAAGCGAAGCTTCCATTTTAATGCCTCTCATTAGCCTAAACACTCGGAACCCAGATTCCCTTAATCTTAACACAATCGAATCGATCAAACCACACCATTAAACTCCTAATACACCAAAACACCTGCTTTAACCCCAAATTCCCCCATTTGCCCTTTCATCAAACCAAGATTTTGTTTAAGGCTCTAGATTGACCAAATCAAGCATTTTCTGAATCTACCCAATCTAGGCCCACTTGGGCCAATATGACTCCACCAATCAACTTAGAACGTTCAAAAACCCCATCCTGCCAAATTTCAACCAAAAACGCCCCACTTTACCCATCCATTTAAAAAGATTTCATTTTGGCCAATCTCACTGGCCCACACACAGACACAAAACCCTTATCAGCAATCAAACTCATATCAACCCTTCACATTTTGGCCCAGAAATCTTTGCCATCCACCCATGAATGATCTAACCCCATTAGACCTAGTTGGACCAAATTACACTCGATTTTGCAAAATTACCAAATTGCCATTCGAATCCTAAAAATTACAAAAATGCCATTTTAACCTAATACTCAATGTTTTCGAACCATTGTTGACTCAGACAGTCAGACCATTCAGACCGAAAACTGTTCAGGCGACCGGTTCCATTTTACCCCAAACCCGATCTTTGGTAAAAAACCATTGAATTAGTCAACAAACCGTTGACCCGAAGAACAGTTTATGGTTTATTACTTCTTACAAGTTTTATTAGAACAATAATGAAAAGAGAAGATCTCTTAGATCTAAGAGATCTGAGATCTACTGGAGAGAGATGCGTGAGACAATGAGAGGGATCTGAGAGATCTCACATTAAGAGATCTAGGAGAGCAGTCTAGACTCTAGATGATAGATCTGAGACTGAGAAATCTAAGATCTACTTTCATCACCAGTTTTTCACCATTGCCGCCACTTTTGCCGCTATAGTTCTCCATCGCCATCGCTATCACCATCACTGTTGCTGTTGTAGCTTGCAAGTCCTCCTCCTCCTCCTCTTCTTCTTCTTCTTCTTCTTCTTCTTCTTCTTCTTCTAAACTCTTTCGAAGGACAACTTCTCAAGTCTCTCTCATGCAAACCTTAGGCTCCATTTGGTTTGTGGGATGGAGACGAGAAAAAAGGAATATTCCAAAAATATTCCTTTTTCTCTTATTTGTTTTAACAAAAATAGGGGGATGGGATGAGAAAAACGTAGATGCGGGATCACAAAATCGTGTAATCAGGGTCGCACCAAAACAGTGTGACCCTGATGGAAAAACTTGAGTTTTCTTCATTCGCTTGAACAAAGGGGATGTGCCTTCTTCTTCAACCTCTCGAGAAAACTTGAGAGACTCTTCTTCCCCAAGGCATTCACCGACGATGACAAACATCGTTGATGATGATCCTCACCAAGGCATTCACTGGCGATGAAGGGAAAGCAAATGGTGGATTGATCTCTGCGGATTGAACCTCCCAGAACTCCGCGGATTGATCTTCAGAGGAAATCTCCGGCACTAACAAAGAATCCGCTGATTCCAATTTTGCAGGAGGTAATATTGTTGATGACGATCCTCACCAAGGCATTCACTGGCAATGAAGGGAAATTAAACAGCGGATTGATCTCTGCGGATTGAATCTTCGAGAACTCTATGGATTGATCTTCAGAAGAAATCTCTAGCACCAACGAAGAATTCGTCGATTCTAGTTTTGCAAGAGGTAATATTGTTGATGATGATCCTCACCAAGGCATTCACCGGTGATGAAGGGAAATCAAATGGCAGATTGATATCTACATATTGAACCTCCGAGACCTCTGCGGATTGAACCTCTGAGCAAAACTAGGTTCGATTACTCACCTCGGTCTGTCCATTGCTTTGGGACTGGTGCACTGCCGTTATGTGATGGTATATTCTAAGCTTAGAATGAAAGGCCCCAAACTTTCTATCGATGAATTGGGATCCATTGTTTCTGATTAGTACCCGAGGGATACCAAAGCAATAGATGACATTCCTCTATAGGAAGCCCTGGGCGTTTTGTGCAATGATGCACGCTATGGGCTCGACCTTGACCCATTTGGTGAAATAGTTTATGACAGTGAGGAGGAACTTGTTCCAGCCGGCCACGGTAGGGAAGGCCCTAAGGATGTCCATCCCCCACTGAGAGAAGGGCCACGGGCTAGGAATCAGCCTGAGAGGGGTTGCTAGCTAGTGGTGCAGATTGGAGTGCCTTTGGTAGTGGTCACATTTTCGGACGAGATGGGTCGCGTCTTGCTTCATCGTGGGCTAGAAGTACCTTTGCTGGAGTGCTTTGTATGCCAAGGTCTGCACACTAGGGTGGTTTCGCAAATGCCCTCATGTATCTCCCTAAGGACGTAGTCGGTTTCAATTAGAGGGAGACATTTCAAGTAATGAAGAGTATGCGATCTACGGTAGAGCTAACCCCAGATGAGGTAGTATTGTGCCAACCTGTGAGTGAGTTTCTTTGCTTCTATCCGGTCCTCGGGTGGTGCCATCTCGCAGGTATTATATGATCGGGTCCATCTACGATGACTCCTGTTGTACTGGGAGAACTACTAAAGCTATTTCAGAGATGTTGGGGTGTGCTAAGGTGTCCATTCGAATTGTGGCCTTGATGTCCATCCGTAGTGAGTTCGCAAGCTTTGGTAAGGCGTCATCTCAAACATTCTTGACCCAACGCATTTTTTGTTTGGTGAAATGCTCAAACTGGTTGGTGAGCTCTTGTACCTTCTACAGTTAGCTTGCCATAGCGGACTCCCGTGCTTCAAACTATCAAGTGAAAGGCTTCGATTCACTTTTTTTCGACGTTCCATGTGAACCAAATCCCAACTATTAGGGCTCTCCACCTCATTATTTGACTTTTTGAACTCAAACTGCAACGCATGCTCGAGAACGGTGTCATTCGGTCTGAGGAGTATGAAATCGACACCGCTCTCTTGTAGGTTGGATGATCCATTGACATGGAGTGTCCAAGCTGGGGGGGCCTTCGGATGGATCATGAACTAAAACGTGCATTCAGCCAAAGCTTGGGCTTTGATGACAGAACAAGGAGCGTAGGCACTGTCAAACTCGCTTAGCTCCACTCTCCACTTGACCAACCAACTTGATGTCTCTACTTTCTACAGTATCTGCCTTAGCAGCTGGTCAGTCAAGACTCGGATGTTGTGTGCTTGGAAGTAGGACTTTTCTAATATTCAAGTACCATGTCTCTGCATCCATGAGGACCTTGCTGGTGTATTAGATCGACTTTGGGACTTGGCCTACTTCCTTCACTAGAACCGAGCTTGCCACCTCGTCCTCGGCAGAGAGGTAAAGTAGGAGTTGGTTGCTGGGGTTCGGCTTGGTCAACAAGGGCAGCAAGATCATATATCGTTTTAACTCTTAGACGGATAGTTTGCACTCCTCGGTCCACTAGAAATCTTTCACCTTTTTTAGTGCTTTGAAGAAGAGTAGACAATGGTCCGTAGAGTTTTCCACGAATCTGTCCAATGTGGCTATTCGGCCTTTGAGACGATGCACTTC